AAGGCTACATTATTAAAAAAAATTTTTTTATTTTGTTACAATTTTTTTTGAAAAATTAATGTTGATACTATTTAAACATATTATATAAAACACTTTTTAATTAGTTTGATCCTTTATTAAACAATCATTAGAAGTATTTTGTTACTTAATTTAAAAGCGATTTATAAGCGTTTTGCGTAATTTTAATAAAACGTTTAAAAAAATAAGTTTTAATAACATTTATTTCAAACGTAATTAAATACGTAACAAAATGTTTCGTTTCGAGTTTAATTTTTTATTTTTACTTTTGTGCTTATATAATTTCTTTTTCGTTTCTTTTTTTTGTTAGGATTTTTTTTTTGCTTTTTTTTTTTGTTAGGATTTTTTTTTTCATTAGTTTTTTTAAAAACTTTTTTTCCAAGTTCAAGTTTAGCTTCGCATTTCTACATTCAGCGCATTTCTGGAATGTTTGTCATATTATTAATTTAATAAAATAAACTTAACCACTATTGGTCAAGTTTATTTTATTAAATTAAACTTGACCAAAACTACAAATAATTTGCGTGGTCAACAATAGCGCTCGATCGCACGCCATTCCTGTCCAAGCCTGCATTCTCAATCTTCTTTTGAAAGAATTTTATTTTCTAGATTATTTCGAAATCATACAGCTAACAAGTATACCAAGTTAAACTACCTGTGCTGTTTTAGTAAAAGCTTGTCTTCTCCATTTTAGCAATAGAAATTAGTCTTGATAATACTCACATTTTTAAAGACGCAATCCACAGACTTGATAATTTACTTAAGCACGTTTAATTCCTAACAGTTTAAGTACACAGCGTCCGAACCTTTAAAGCAAGTGAAAAACTATAACCATGCATGTCGTCGTGCGCTTTTTCTGAAATTAGAAAAGTGGATGTTATCAATAGTTTATTATATTTATTTTGGTTTGAGGAAATATTTTTTAGTTTACCAGTAGCGCTATATGCAAAAATGACCAAAACTGTACAAGAATTAGACTAAATGCAATTTAGGGGTCATCCATAAGTTATGTCACGCTTAGGGAGGGGGGTTAGGCAACTTTGTGATGATTTGTTATGAGGGGGAGGGGGTCTTGATTTTGTGACACAACTTTTTTTTTTTTAGAGAAGACTTTCTTTAAATTAAAAAAGCATCTGCCCAAACCCTCAGTTGATGTATCTACATGTTAATTGTAAAATCAACTACGCCTAAATCTTTCTTAGTCGATGTGTACACTCCATTACAGCCTGTTAATGGTTACAACCTGTTAACGAATTATGGCTGTTTGTGCAGTGCACGTTCTACGCTTTGAATTTATATGGTTCAAGTGCAGGACTTTATTTAGTTGGTGCACAAAAGTGTACTGCAACAAAAAAACAATCTTTGTACAATAACTAAAAAAAAAATTTCTCTATACCGAGAAATGAACCTGGAACCTTTGGTTTACTAGCCGGAGGCAGAATCTACTTGACCACGCATACATTGCAAGATGGAAGAAATTTATAAATTAATATTTTTGCATATATAATATGTTATTATTTATTATATATATATATATATATATATATATATATATATATATATATATATATATATATATATATATATATATATATATATATAATATATATATATATATATATATAATATTTTGAATGTGTTATATATCGGAAAACTAGATTTTTAAAATTGGTATCATGTTTATGAGAGCAATGTTAATTTAAACAATTTCACACAGAACTATTGGGATGAAAAAAAAACATTAAACAGACTGAAAAGCACTAATTAATTAACTCAAAGAAGCTCAGAGAATTATAGACATTATATTTAAAATCATTTTGTATTTTGTAAAATTTTGCACCCCCTCCCATCCTCTCTAAAAAAACTTTAGAAAATTTTTTTAGGAGGGGGTATAAAATTGTTGCATAATATTGGGGGGCGGTCAACAAAGTGTTACACATGCGTTATGAGGGGGGGGAAGGGGGTCAAAAAGTGTCAAAAACTGCATAATGTAATTTATGGACGACCCCTTAAAAAAAAAAATTGTTGAAAAGCGACTCAAAACATTAGTGGGCAACCAACAGTACCTAAATTCTTAATTTCAGACCAACCAAAATCTGAGTGTACACTAGGTTTATGACTTTTTGACTTTTAAAAAAAAAGATTATTTTTCTGTGTCAAATTAATGAACTTTTATTAGAAAACATTGAAAACATGTTCAATTCCTCTCAGTTGTAAAAAATAGGTCACCCCGCAATTCAAATTACGTTTTCTCATTTATTTAATCTTGTTACTGCTACTACTAATACTTGTGGCTTTCCTGCAAATCATTTAAAACTTATAGATTAGAAGTGTTTAGATTTTTAGAACATTTTGGAAAGTAACAGAATATTTTAGAAGACTTTAGAACATTCTAGAACAATTTAAAACATTCTGGAACAGTTTAGTACATTCTGGAGTATTCTAGAACATTTTAGACTATATATAGATGCTCATCTAATTTTATAGTTATTACAGAAGCAACACATGGCGTCGTGCAAGCATAGCGATAGTAGCATTCAGAAGAACAAGGATGTCTGGACCAATAATCTGGTAAAATTTGAAAACTCTCATAAAAGAAAAATGGTTTCTTTGAAAGAATATTCACTAGAAGAAAAGTGCAAAATGCCTTTCCAAAAGCAAATTATCGGGCGCTACCATTTCCTTGGACCAAAAATCAAAAGAAGAAATAAGCGAATAGCGGAAATTTCCGAAGAATTCACTAAATTGTGGTAGAATAAACTGAATTTTCCTCATGTATCTGATCTAGTTATACAAGCAAAGCTTGATAAATTACTGAAATGTTATGATAAATGTGTCAAGCAGGGAATCTATGAACCCCTTAATGAAATTTTTGATATTACTAAAGTAGATGGAATATGGTTATCTTCAGAGGACAAGCGGTTGTACCATCTCAGTTGAAAGCAAAGGAACAGTGGGATACTCTACAGGCCAAGCGTCAGTAAAGAAATGATCCATCCCTCTAAAAGACAAAAACTTTCTAAAGAGTCATCCAACTCATCATCTTACTATCCTGGTTTTAGTCATTCTGACTGAGGCTGACGACAGTGAATATGAAAACAATGATGAAGAAGACGAGACAACTCCTACACCAAGCAGAAAACATAAAAGCAAAATTGCAGTCAACTATAATCTCAACTATAACCTCCACAAGAATATCAACAAACAAATCTGCTGACATATGCAAGCAATTGGCTTGTGAAGGCATTGACATTCAACTCCATTTCAATCAGCTATT